TTTCAGAACCCCCTTCCCCTCCCCCATTTCTGAAGAAGGGTCAGGCCTGAAACGTCAGCCTTCCTGCTCCTCTGATGCTGCTTGGCCTGCTGTGTTCATCCAGTTCTACACCTTGTTATCTAAGTAGGCATTAACCTTTTTTTCAAGTTGCATTGCACAACTATATGCCGCAGGAACTGGCATTGGAAAGTGAACAGTTCACAATTTACATAAATTACTTTGATGAAGGGACTGAAGATTTTGTTGCCAAATTTGCTGATGACACAAAGATAAGTAGGAAAGTAAAACGTGAAATGGACATAAGGAGGCTATGAAGAGATTTTGGTAGGTTAAGTGAATAGGCAAAGATTTGTCAAATAGAGGATAATGTGGGAAAATATCATATTGTCCATTTTGACGGGAAGAATAAAAAAAGAAGCATTTTACTAAATAGTGAGAGACTGCAGAGCACTGAGACAGAGGGATCTGGACCGGGGCGGGGGAGGGGGCATTGTTCCTGTGCCTGATCGCAAAAAGTTGGTGTGCAAGTACAGTGAGTAATTGATACTTCTAACAGAATCTATCAGTTATCAGAACAGGAATTGAATACAAAAGTAGGGAGGCTATGCTTCAATTGTACAGGGCACTGAGTCTGGAGACTATACACTATTGTTCACCTTGTATAACAAAAGGTGTAAGTGCCCTGGAGGCTGTTCAGTTTATGAGATGAATACCTGAAAATGGACAGGCCTGTCCTTTAAGGAAAGGTTGGACAGGCCAGGCTTGTATCCTCTGGAGTTTAGAAGAATAAGTGTTGTCTTGACTGAAACACACAAGATCGCAAGGCATCTGGCAGGTTAGAAATAGATAGAATGTTTACTCATAAAGAGAACCTAGAACTGGGGGCTCACTGTTTAAAAATTAGCATCACGAATTTAAAACACAAATGAGATGAAATTTCTTCTGACAGATGTTAAGATTTTTTTTGAATACTCTTCTTGAAAAGGTCATGGAAGCAGAGTCCTTGAATATTTTTAAGGCAGTGACAGATAGATTTTTGTCAAAGAGAGGGTGAAAGGTTATCAGAGAAAGGTAGGAATGCAGAATTGGCACACATTCAGATCAGCCGTAATTTTATTGAATGGCAGAACAGGATTTAGAGGGTGAGTGGCCCATTCCTGCTCCTAATGCATAAGCGTGTGTGTGTGTGTGCGTGTGTGTGCGCGTGCGTGTGTGTGTGTGTGTGCGCGCGTGTACATGTGTGTTCTTGAGGCTTGACTCCTCGCATTGACATCCATGGTTGTATGCTGCAACAGCCTTCCAAATATGGGTCATATATGTATGGGTATATATATGACATTTCTCCTATTTTGCATCATCTTCACAATATCCTCCAGCTACATCCAAAAACCTTGGAGACCACTCTCAACTATGGTATGCCATTAATCAAAGCTTCCCAGGTTATATTCAATTCACTCAGGACTCACTGACACTCCAGCCACAGTGCACCTCCCGTTTAAGACGTGCAGACTAACTTTAACTGGTACTAGCCACTTAAGATAACGACAACTTGGTCAGGTACTCAGTTAATGTTCAGAAAGGTTCGTGCTGTCTGGACACTGTAACCATTTCAAATAACAGTCAAACAGTGTGGGTTAATTGTGCCTTACCACTCTTGCACACAACGTCTAGGCCTTGAAATTTAGCCCCCATATCATTGAAAACTTGTGTTTCTGAATTTAGCTTCCACATTTATCATAGTTCAGCTATTTTGCAGAAATATATATTTTAAATTAGAAATGAGGACATGGACTAGAAAATAAATATGTTTAAATGGTAAACTGCAATGAAACAAATGACAAAGGTAGTCCATCATTAATTCTATTCCTACTAATGAATCATGTAATGCAAATTCACTTCTATATGCCTTAATCTCTTGAAGGAGGTCAATCAATACAGATCCACCCACAAATAGTTTTATTTAATCTCGACCTTTTTACAGACATATTATATTTGTAAGACATCTTTTTGTTCAGAATAACATGCTGGTATATTTCTAGTCCCAAAAATTTTGAAATAACTAATCAATGTCTAAAGAACAAACAAATGCCTTTGCGGCAGCTACCGAAATTGAAAGGTTTGGGGGAGTCTTTAGACCTGGAGTTAAACTCTGAAGTTTGAATTGTAATAAGAGATGGAAAATTCTCATTATTTTTGAGCCTGGCACAATGATAAGTTTGATTTTCATATCTAATTTGTTACATACCTTTCAAATATTGGCTTCTTTGACTAATAATGAAAAATTAAAACTAATAATCATCTTTAAAAAGAAACAAATATACCTGAGCAGTTTCACTGATGAAACTTAATTCACAACTTCATATTATGTTTACAGTATCTCTATTCATCTATTCTGTTAGACAGGGTCACAGAAATCCAAACTTGCAATAATTATAATAAATTACTATACCTGATGGAGTGCTAAGTACTGACTTGCTGAAACTGGATCAAATTGGCCAAAACATTCAACCATGTCAAGACTCGCAGCTGCTAAAATATCAGTAAGCTGGTTGTTTAATGCCAGGTTCATGGACTGGATCAAAACTTCACTGGCATGAGCCAAATATACCCATGCTATTGCTCGTTCCTTCTATAAAATGAACAGAAACCAACATGAGTTAACAAATTCTAACTTATTCTGCCATGCAAAATGTCCTTTTGAAAGTTTTACAAAACGTTCTAATGTAGCAAAAGAATATTAAAAAATCATTGAAAAGTTAGCCCTGTTCATCATGATAGAATTAGATGAAAGTGGTTGGATGAAGGCTCATTTTTAACCAGTTGGGCTAAAAGATAGGTTTCTCTGCTGTATATTCTTTTTAGTCAGAATAATAAAGTTCTGATCCACAGATGCTACCTTTTCCATGCACTTGTCATTCTACTGACTAACTACTTTGTTCAATTCTGGTCACTATACCAAAATAAAGACATGGGTGCACGGTAAAGTGTGCAGAAAAGGGAAACAGGGCTGCTTCCATATTTTTCTTATTCATTCAAGGGATGTGGATGTTGCTGGCTAAGCCAGCATTTATTGTCCATCCCTAACTACCTTTGAGAAGACACATGTGAGCTGTGATCTTGGAACTGCTAGTCCTTGGGGTATAGGTGTACCCACAGTCATGTTTGGAGAATGTTCAGAATTTTAACCCAGAAACAATAAAGAAATGGCAAAATAGCTCCACATTGGGATCATGGAGGGGACCTTGCAGGCTGTGGAGTTCCTGAGTAACTGTTGCCCTCATCCTTCTAAATGATTCAGTTTGTGGGTTTTGGTAGATGCTGTCTTGTAATTTGATGAGTTACTGTAGTGCATCTTGTAGATAGTACAAACTGCTACCAGTGTACAAAGACTGAACAAAGACAAAGATTAGAGAAGCGCACAGTTTAGCTTAGAGAATGAAGGTATCCAAGGAATGACCTTGGCAAAATGCATAGCAGTAAATAGCAAAGATAAAGTAAATTCACAATTTTACTTCAAAGTAAATGAGGAACAGAGGAACCAAAAGACTTAAATTTAAAATTACAAAATAAATATAAAACTTCTATAAAGAAGACTGATAAATGCTTATCCAGGTGGGGTGGTAGATAACAGTATTGGGCAGGTTTCAAATGTAATTAGATACTGAGAGATAGGAGTTGGAATATTACAATGCCAAGCTATAGTGAGCTTGCTTTTTTATGTTTTTCACGAACCAACAGTTGAATTGAAGAAGAATTTACCTTCAGGCATGCAGCCTTTGCAGCACATTTTTCTATTTGATAGGTAGAAAGTTGCAATGCTGGACTTTCAGATTTTGATTCCACTTGTTCACTTTCTTCCTCAGCAGACAGCTGCAAATCGACAGGCTTTGATTCAATTTGTTCATCATCTTTTGTAAATTTGGCCTGTTTTGGCAGATCATCATTAGTTTCCTCCAAATCATGCTGAAAAAATAAGAACATTAACAAAGATGCAGTATTCAAAACGATATAAGTCTGTGATTACAACTAAGTATTCCATATTGGAGTTCAGTTTATGCCATTGTTAAATCGACTATTTCTTAAAATCACAAACGAAGTTTAAACAAGACAGCAGGTTCTGAGTGTCACTGCAATGCCTGGCATTTAGTATTGGAGTTTCAGCTATTCAGACAAGTGAAAAGCATTCGATCACAGTCCTGAAATTAATTTTGTATATGGTAAGAAGGCTTTGGAAGTCAAGAAGTGAATCATTTGCTGCCAAATTCCTAGCTTTTATTCACAGAATCCTCACAGTGTAGCTAGAGGCCTTCTGGCCCATTGTGGCTGTATCAACACTTCATATAGCATCCCACCCAGACCCACCACCCCTATCTCCATAACCCTGCATTTACCTTGACTAATTCATCCAGCCTGAACACCACTGGGCAACTTTACCATGGCCAATCCACCTAACCCGCACATCATTGGATTGTGGGAGGAAGCCAGAGCACCCGGTTGAAGTGAGAGGATGTGAATAATCAAGGGAAGAAGCTATCAGACTCTCAAGATGAGAACTGAAGCAATATTTAAGTTAAATCCCTACATGGGATAGGAAAGGAAATTATCTCTTGTTATGGACAAGACCAGCTCCCCAAAGATCATTATGGAGATAGCCTAGACCTTAATTTTTCTTTTGAAAAGGCAAGTGTAAGGAGTTGTGTTCAGATATGATTCAATTGGTCCACCACTAATCTTTAATCAAAACACACTTTATTCTTACAACACAGTTAAAATACAACCAAAGGAAGAATTGGCATAAATTTACTCTACTGAAATACTTAACAAGAGAATGTATTATTTAACCATTAATCATCAACTGTTCCAATATAGGCAGCATCCCAAAAGCACAACCTTGGCAAAGGCAATTCAGGGACACAGTTATAATTCTCATGTGCAGTCACTGTCCAGTCCAGGAGAAAGAAATACCAAAAGAAACAATCTGCCCCTTTTGATTTTTACGAGGAAGCCTCTCTGTCTAAACCTTCACTCTCGCAGCAGAAAACTGAAGGTTTCAGCTCCAGCAGCTAGCAAAACCCTATCAACTAACTGAAAAGAAAACTAAAGTCTTCTGGGTCTGTGTGAGCTTGAACCTGCCCAATCATAATTCTTTTTACTTCAAAATAAACCCCAGGAGACACTCAAAGCTGTTTACCAACTGTCTGTCAGAAGGAGACATTTCAGCATCACTGCGACAAGAGAAACACTCTGCAAGAGAAACAGGACAGAACACATCTCTTAAAGGCACACTATTATCACACTCTGGTGTTTGAGTGCTTTATCCTGGTGCTGTTGGGATGAATGAAATATTGTATTTTCTATTAAACACGCACCCAATGACAGTACCAATTCTCTTGCATTAAACACAAAATTATGCCAACCCTAAAAATTCCAGCCGCATCAACCATTTCTAATTTACACAGCCATGAATTCTGTAGTGCAGAAAGACAAACCAAGACAAACTGTCTTTTCTCCTGTTCTCATTTCCATGGATTGAGCTTCAGGCTTCCATTGGATAGGTCCGTACTTATGGACAAAGTACTGTAATCGTTTACCATTGCCTTCTGCTTCTTGACTGAGCAGCAAACACTTCTGCTTCTATCTGCCATTAAATGTATTGGAAGGATTTACAGACTGACAGTCAACCTATGTGGCTACATTAGGACAGACCTTACATTGTCAATAAATCATGGCATGGGACTCAAACATAGACAGTCTGGGCAGAGGGAGGGATGGTATTACTGTACCACAAGAGCTCTATGTAGAAACTGAGACATTAGACAAGAAAAATGAATTGCTACTACTTTGAGTAAGTAACATCTTGATCAGTACCAGTCCTAGTATTAGAAGATATAGAATTGTTTATGAATAAGAATTAGAATTCATCTTACCAGCATTTGTTGAACCCAATTGAAGCCTGGGTTAATTGGATCAACTTTTACAGCTAACAACCGCAGGCACTTGCCAGTTAGATAGAGACATTTGGATCTAATTTCTTCAGAGCCATTGCTCAGGTTATGTGCACTTGCAAGCTGAGCCAGAGCTTTTTGTCCCAGTGACCTGGTCACAGTCACCCATTCCTGAACAAAAACAGAGATTTAACAATTGCATAAACTATAGAACACATAAAATACGACACAGTAAGTGTCCACTGAATATTAGAACTTGGGATTTTTAAGTTCCATAGCCTCTGTGAGAGTCTGAGGTGTGACTTCACATATTAAGAAACGTTTCAGGTCAAACTATGTTCAAATTCTGCATGTATCTGTATTAAAATAACATTATGAATAGTTTAAGAAAAATAATATGTGATTAATTAGACTTGATAATGCAAGAAAAAATTAATAAAATCATTACTTTAGGCAGTCTTTTTATTAAACATTGAAATAAGTATTTTACTTTTTAAGATATTAATGAATTTAGACTGCAGAAATAAAAAAAATTAAGAATATTGATAAACTTTTCAAACAGAAAATAGTTCCAAAGAAAAAGTCATCAATTTGAAATATTAATCCTCTCTTTCTCTTTTCACTGATGCTGCCTACCATGCTGAGCATTTCCAGAAATTTTAGTTCTTATTTCAGATTTGCAGCACCTGCAGTAATTTGCTTTTAAATGTTGTTTCAGCATAAAAAAGGTTATGATCTTGGTTATTAATAATGTGTCCACAACACATCTTGAACAATAACTTGCATTAATATTAACACCTTCAACAGATATCACAAGGCAACTGACACCAAGCAGAAAAAGAAAATACGATAAATAGAATAAAGGATGAAGAAGCTGAACGACTGAAGAGAATAACACTTTTCAGGAGAACTTTTAAAGGTTGACAGAAAAACAGAGAGTTTAAGGGCATTTGTAGGATAGTTCTGATTGCGAGGTTGACAGGGCTCTGCCATTAGTGTGGGATAACGGGTGGACCAAATGTGAAACAGGTCAAAGGGAGAGAACTGAAGCGCCTGAGATACGATGTAGGAATCAGACAGGCTCTGTACATCTAGTAGGCTGAGCCCATGGAGGAAACAGCAAATTAAAGTAGAGAGCAGGATTCAATATGGGTTGCTGAATTATGTTTGAGTGGAAAACAAAAAGTCAGTAAGGGGTAGATCGGAAAAACTAAGTGGGTACTGCCAGCACTGCAACCTGTCCCAAGAAAAAGATCCCATAGATTCCTAGAGCCAGGTAAGTAGGCAAAAAGGGTTTGGCCACTTTGGTAAAGGGAGGTGTGGGTGGGTGGCAGCAAGAGGACAGAAGGTATTGGCTTCTCTCGTGCAGACAGGAAGGAAGAGGATGCAGTATCTTTTCAGGGGGGCTCCTCCAATGCAAAAAAGGAATCTTTCAAAGGGAGTAACCCTCTACCCTCATGCACTTTTAAAAGCTTGGGGAGAAAATAGTTTGCTCAGTCCCATCCACCTGCCAAATCCAACCATATTATGACCTGAACAGGGTAATACAAACTCACATAATTGAAATGAAAGACTCTTAATTATCTAATTAAATATGGTGGGTGGGCTGCTGATTTTGACGTGGTTAAACTCTCCATATTATAGCAGTGAGTTGGAAGGTTCTGGGCTGGGCACCTGCCCTCTGTTGAAAACACAAATGGAGAGGCTATTTGAAATTCAGCTCCAGATAAAGTTATAACAGTTGAATGGAGGAATGCTTTAGTAAATGTGGTTACAGACAACGATAGACAGGGGAAGCAAATGTTACAAAGATGACTAACAAAAGACTAGCTGTATCAACAGTTCACTTTCTTTTATACAAATTTATTTTACGTAAGTAAAAAGCTATTATCTCAAAATGTAACCAGCCTTCATAATGTTACCATTAAATATTTTGATAAAAATATAATTGTCAGAAAGAACCAAAATTTTCAATTGCATTCAATTTTTAGATTGCTTATGTACTACAAAAAGAGTCTCCTCAGAGATAGTAAGAACTGCAGATGCTGGAGTCAGAATTAACACAGTGTGGAGCTGAAGGAACACAGCAGGCCAGGCAGCATCAGAGGAGCAGGAACGTCGACATTTCAGGTCGGGACACTTCTTCAGAAATGGGGAAGGGGGAAGGGAGCTCCGAAATAAATACAGAGAGGAGGGGTGGGGCTGGGGAAGGTAGGTGGGTGCAGGTAGGGAGTGGTGGGGATTGGTTAGTGAGGTGGGAGGAGTGGATAGGTGGGAGAGAAGATGGACAGGTTGTGTCAGGTCAAGGAGGTGGGGATGAGAGGGAGGATTGGTCATGGGATGAGGCCAGGGGTGGGGAGATTTTGAACCTGGTAAAGTCCACATTGAGACCATTGGGTTGTAGGCTCTCAAGGCGGAATATGAGGTGCTGCTCCTGCAGTTTCCAGGTGGCGTCGTTGTGACACTGGAGGAGGCCCAGGATGGACATGTCGCCCAGGGAGTGGGAGGGGGAGTTGAAATGGTTCGTGACTGGAAAGTGTTGTCGTTTGTCATGAAAGAGCGCAGGTGCTCTACAAAGTGGTCTCCGAGCCTCCGCTTAGTCTCATCGATGTAGAGGAGGCCACATCGGGAACAGCGGATGCAATAGACCACATTGATGGATGTGCAGGTGAACGTCTGTCTGATGTGAAAGCTTTGTTGGGTGGCTTAAATGGAGGTGAGGGGTGAGGTGTAGGCACAGGTGTAGCACTTCCTGCGGTTGCAGGGAAAGGTGCTGGGGGTGGTGGGACTAGTGGGGAGTGTGGAGCGGACGTGGGAGTCGCAGATAGAGCAGTCACTACGGAAGGCAGATAAGGGTGGGGAGGGAAACATATCTTTGGTGTGGGGTTGGACTGCAGGTGGCGGAAGTGGCTGAGAATGATGCATTGAATACGGAGGTTGGTGGGGTGATATGTGAGGACAAGGGGGATTCTGTCTTGTTTTTGTTGCGGGAAATGCAATAGGTGCGGTCAAGAGCATTTTCAATCACCAAAGGGGGAAGTTGCGGTCCTTGAAATAAGAGGACATCTAGATGTTCGGGAGTGGAACACCCCATCTTGGGAGCAGACGCGGCGGAGGTGGAGGAATTGGGAGTAGGGGATTGCATTCTTGCAGAAAGGTGGGTGAGAGGAGGTGTAATCTAGGTAGCTGTGGGAGTCAGTGGGCTTGAAATAGATGTCGATTTTGAAAGAGTCTCCTTTCTTTTGGCAGACAAGCCCATACTCATAATACTAAACAATTTTAATCACTACTGCATGCTGGTGACCAAAGTTTATGGAGTTTTAATTTTAGCCAAGGGTTAACAAAGCATTTGATTTATTTCTCAATTTAAAATCTTATTGCCCACATAAATCGAGGGATTTCTACCCAGATTGTAGAAAAAGCTAGATGACATCTTCAATGTTTTGCTAAAACTGCCCATTGCAAGTTTTATTTTTCATAAAAGGCCAAATAAGATGCAGCGAAGTGTCTATGAATTACCTTTTCAACCGGTGTGTAATCAGGTGTGGAACTAATGAATTCCTCAACAATGAGCTGTAGCAATCCTTTCCGTCTTGCTGCTTCAGCTTCCTTTTTATCTTTCATGATAACCAAATTCAGAATGTTCAAAGACAACTGCACAAAAATTAACTTGAGAGAGGCCAGCTTCCTCATCAGAGGCAAACTTAAATTTGTCAACTGAAAATAAGCATTAAACAAATACTTTTAAGAAGACGAGCAAAATTTCAAAAATCATGCCATGCGAATAATTTTTTTTTAAGTAACTTAATTTAAATCTGAGTCCTAGGCCTATTCAGAGGACAAGCTTGTTTATAACATTTGTTTCTGTTTACCACGTCATGCATATAAATAACACATCCACTGTTTTCTTCACTTATATACAGATAATAAGATAAAAAGTGTATTAAAGAATGATATTTGACTTATTAAGCCTGTTTTCTTCCAAAAGATCATGTCCAAGTACCTTCTTAAAGGGCAGCTAAGATGGTTTATATTAGATTTGCTTTATTGCTCAAAAACAAGAGACTCAATGAGCTGAATTTCACCTGAATTCATCTAAGTGTCAACATTGGTGAGATTCATGGAAGGAGTCTCTCCGAGAGTCCTGGGAAATTTTCTCATATTATCTTTCCACACTCGGCTCAATATGTATGCACCATAGTCTATTGTACCCCCCCTCCCCCCCAACTTGTCACATCAACTGCCTTGCAATGGGCAGGGGTACTAGCCATAGTTAGGACCTCCACGGATTCCGGGCACCGGTGGCATATTTAAAACGCTGTTGCGCACTGGCTGAAGTACTGGCCATCTTGACCTGCCCCGCAAAGTTCCTGTTCACTGGTTCAGAGATGTCAGACAAAGAGAAATTTGTACCCCGCTTCACTGATAGGAATCTGAAAGTCCTGGTGGATGGGATGTTGCAGATGAGGGCATGACTCCCAGGCCCTGACAGCTCAGTCAGTGCCAGGATTTAGAGGAATGGCCAGCCATGCAAGCAGTAGGTCAATAAGCTTCTCCTCTTTGCAACGGAAAGCATAAGCATCTTCTCAAGATTTTACATTCACTCTGTCTCTGCTCCTGCACCACTTCACACCAAAGGTCACAGTTATCACTCTCATTGTTGAATGCAGCATCTTCCCCTCACTCACTTTCCTCCACCAGATCCCTCCACCCTACTAATCCTTCAGTGCCTTTGCACCTCATACTCATTCATTTGGGGCAAATCACAACTTTTGTCTCATATTAACAGCAGTGCTGGCCACTTTCATTAATCTCTCCCTTTGTCTCATTCCAGGAGAAAGCAGCTCACAATAGGACAGACAGAGCCAAGATGGTGGGATGGCCAACAAATGCCTCCTCACCCTACACGAGGAAAGGACCCTGGCCCTAGTCAATAAAGACAACAAGTGGTCATGTGGTGATGCCAAAAGCTCCATGTTGCAGCAACTAAGTAAGAATCACTGTCCATGACATATTGCTGTCTGATGACTGCCATGCAGTCTTGTATTCTTAGAACTTCTAAATGCTGTTCGTGATGCTTTCTCCCTTTTGCCTCCTGAGACTATGACGGCCATCTGCACAGTCTCAGTGTTAAAGAGGGTAGCCCTACAGAACAATCCTTCTTCCACCTCTGCGGAAGAAGCCGCAAATCCCTCAGAGGAAGCAGCAAGAAAGGCTGCCTTCTGCACCCTCCACCAGCTCAGATACTGACCTCCTCAGTAGTATTTCATCCAGATTAAATTTGGGAGCAATTGCTAGTGAGCGCAACACTGCCATGTCTCTGCAAATGGCCAAGGGAGAAGCCCCCGACCCCCGTACACAGCTTGCTGACAATATGAGAACTGTTGAAGGCCAGGCACCTGCTCAGCCCCTGGCAGGAGAGGACCCCACGGTTTTGGCAATTAATAACTTAATACAAATACAGAAGAATGCACAGGGGGAGCATACAGGTTTCTCAGAGACACTGATGGCCCCTGGTAAGTCCCCTTGACATTCAGTGGGCAGACCCCAGGACCGGCGGTGGCCAATTCTCTTGACCAACCCAGATCCAGGACTGATCTCTTTGCAGCTTGACCGACTGGCTGTGAATCCTGGACTGGTTGTGCTGGGCATACAGGGCTAACCATGACCACTCCCTGAACTGTAGAGGTAATGACCCCTAACTTTAGACAGCTGAATCACCATGCCCAAACTCCTGAACTGATATCCAAGGTTTCCATTGACTTATTGTTCTGGGACCCCTTGACTGAAGGATGCCCCTTTCAATTTGACTGAGGACTAGTCCACCTTAGACTTTGAGACATAGCCATTCGGTTGAAGAATGTTTAGTATGATTGCCATGTACCCAGCTGGCACATGGTGCAGGCGTAACGCTAGCATAGCACAGTGCTGTAAAGCAACATATCTATTCCCTTTACTGATGACTGCTAACAACAATGACAAGGCTTTATATCTGCACTAAACAGCATGGCAACGCAGAAGTATTGGGATTTTAAGATCTGGTTGAGTGGGCAAAGTGTGATTAGGCAAGGCAAGGCACAGTTGCTGTGAGCTTGGTGTAACTTGTCTGAGCACTAAGAGAGCAAGTGAGAAGACCTGCAACATATCTGGTCCCATCTATGAAATGAGTGCCTGTCCCTTGGTGCGAAGTGTCCTGGCCACAGCACTGCAATGACAGGTTGCACTTCAAAGTGCAGCATCAAAATACAGAACCGTATTGTTAGTGGGTCAGTGATACACCATAATGATGCAGTGAGACTGGCATGTGTCTGCTGCCAATGTCTATGGATGAGGGTTGCATGCAATCACTGCCCATAGAATATGGCCAGAGACATTGGTGACCACTGTCCAAGTTGGAGAGCCAGAGGAACAAGTAACAAACTGGAGACACCAGGTACCCACTCAGAACTCGATGTCAGGAAATATCAATGTCTAGTTTCTATCCAGTGGGTGAGAGAATAGGAAACTGCATATCACTGAGGCAAGATTAACTGACAATGAGAAGTTAATGTGTGCAAATTCAAGTAAATAGGCCTATACTCTATGCTTCTATTAATAAAGCCAAAAACACTGTACGCTTTATTAACTGCCCTCTCTACCTGTCCTGCCACTTACAATGATTTGGGTTCACGTACACCCAGATCCTTCTGTTCCTGAACCCTCTTTAGAATTGTACTTCCTATTTTGTACTGTCTTTCAACATTTTTGTGACCAAATTGTACATTGAAAATCATCCGCGACCAATCTGCCCACACCACCAACTTGTCAATGCCCTTTTAGAGTTCCACATTGTCCACCTCCTCAGTTCACAATTCTTACAAGTTTCGTGTCATCTGCAAATTTGATATTGACCCTTGCACACCAAGATCCAGATCACTAATATATATTAGGAAAAGTAAAAGTCTTAATACCAACTGGAAATCATAATCTAATCAAAGAGATTTTCAGGGAAGTCTTAACCAGAGTGGATAGAGGGGAACCAGTATATAGTATTGGGGCTTCAAGAAAACGTTCAACAAGGTACTTTACAAAAAGTTAAGTCATTAGTCACGGTGTTGGAGGCAGTATATTGGCACGAATGGAGAATTGGCTAATGGCGAAAAACAGCGAGCGGGGCTAAGGGCTTCTTTTTCAGGTTGGCAACTTATAACCTTTCCAAGATCCTTAAACATTTTACATTTTTCGTCACTTCCTATTTATCTTTTCTGCAATGAGAAGTGTAGGTGCAGGCCATCAGTTTAGCGATGTCATTGAGATTAGGAATTGTCATATCGTAAGCTGCCTGGAAGCAAAGAACTGCTAAGCATCATGAAGGAGAAAACAGACTTTTAGTCATAATTTACTCAAACCTCAAATTAAACACTTTGAAGCTAGTCACTAAATCAAAAATTAACCTTCCAACAATATCAGCTGCACCACAGAACTAATTTATCAATTGCTGGCCTGATATGCAACAAAGCTAAGATGAGATGTTTTATCTGATTACTTCGATGAAAATGAAAATGAAAACTTAGCCCAAAATAGTTTCACTTTCAATTATCTTAGGTTTCCGAGCAATGGAAGTCAGCATTGCAAGCAGTATATGTTTGTCTACAGAAATCAACTTAGTAGCTCCCCTGAAATCCACATTGTAAATATAAAGGTCAAACAGACTGTCTTAACAAAAACCTAAGTGACAGAATTTATATTGGTGAAATAGTCTTTGAAAATAATCCACTTTGGTTCTGTTGTATATTAAACTGGTGCATTGGAAAGCTCTGAAACAGCACATTAGTTGACAAATTAACTGTGCAACGAACAATATTAAAATGGTTCATCATTGGCCATCCAACATGTGTTCAAAACAAGAGCAGACTAATCTGATCAATATAAACAATTTGTATTAAATAATGCAAATTATGATGTTTAAACAAACATATGCATTAGGCTTTGGAAATTAGGCTGGAACTTTGTAGTGTTGAATCAGTAATCCAGAGTACTGGGAGAACGGAGGTATGGAAATGCTACACTGGCAGAGCAGATCCTGCATCAAGTTATTTCTAAGTAATAATTTGATGCTTAATGAACTTCAAATACTTGTTCTCATTTTTTTTGTATTCACACCAAAAAGATCAAATTTGTTGCAAAAATATTTGAATAAATACCTAGTATTCAGCAAAGCGTATCCAGATTTGCCCTTTTTACTTTGTGCATCTATTGGAAACAGGAGCAAGGAAGACTCTATGGTGAAGAGCTCTGAAACAGGCACCAGGGACTGGATAAAGTTGATCAGGAGAAACTGCATCCACTTGTAAAAGGATCAAGAATGAGAATGAATAGATTTAAAGTAATTTGCAAAAGGTGGTGGCATGATGTGAGAGAACAGTGTGAAGGCCTGGAATGCATTGCCTGAAGGTGTGGTGGAGGCAGGTTCAGTTGAGGTATTCAAGGAGCATTGGATGATTATTTGAACAGAAACAATGTGAGAGGGTATGGAGAAAAGTCAAGGGAATGGCATTAAATCATGATATTGAAGGCAAAAATGTTGGGAAAATACAGCAAGAATGAAAACAATCAGATTCCCAACGTCAAGAAAAGCAAAGCCTGATTTTCTCCTTAGGGTTACAGCAGCAAATTCAGAAGCCTGCCAATGAGCAGTAATTCTCTTACTGCCATGCATTTCCATTTTATTCTTAGCTAATCACAGGACATTTCTATGCAGTTCTCCATTCTCCTTTCCTTCCCCTCCAACACAATGTCAGAGCAGTTACTGACACCAGCTCACTGTTTGTTCCTCTGGTCATTCATCCAGCTCCACCGTTGTCACTATTTCCCTGCATGCTCCATGGACACTGTCCTTTTTCAAACTTCCTTCATGCAAGTGAGCATCAGCAAACCACCAGCCTTAGCCCATCATTAGGGCTGTTTTTGGAACAACTCACAAAGCATTTCAGCCCTTCGGGATTTGACTTTGGAGCTCACAGCCACTTGCGCTTTGCATGCTTCAGTCAGGTCTCTTTATCGTGTAGGGACACGCAAACACACACACAGCACTAAGAACACTGGAGAGTCAACGAGGTGTACACGTTGTTGTACAGCACTGGGCTATGCTAATATCACACCTCCAGCTTGTGCCAGCAGCTTATGTAATAAACACATTACATTGTCCTTCAACTAAATGGCCATGTCCAAATGTCACTAGTGACTAGTCTTTTAGTGGAATGAGGTGGGATTATGGTCAGCCAGAGTGTGACACCACACTCAGTCTAACCAGGGGTCAAATTACAAGTCCAAAGCATTCCGTGAAATCCTGGGTAACTTGGAGATGACCCAGCAGAAGTTTTCAGCGCATCACTCTGTCACAGGAGGCCTTGAATGGAGCCATCAGATGCTAAAAACAATGATCAAGGCTGCTATCATGAATACCCCCATGACTGGGATAAAGAATTAGACTTTCATCTATTTGACACAAGGGAAGCACCCAGTTGACTTAGTTAATGGGCACCAAGCAGGAGGGCTTCAGGAGTGGATTTTAGAACAGAACGAGGAAGTCTTCGTTAGATTATGTAGCAGAGCATCAAGAGTGACTATCATGAGCCTGTGAAGCAGTCCAAGAACACTTGAAAATCCCCCAAACAGTAGAAAAAGCAGATAAATATGCCAGGGCCCAAACCTTTCAGCCAGGAAATTGTGTCAGTCCTTGTGTAAAGACCAGGCAAACTCCCAAAGGCCCAGTTTATTGGCCTGAATGAAGTAGCAAAGATGGTTGGCATCCAGAACCGGGGGAAAAAGGTCGATCGCGTCAACATGATAAAGCAAGACCACTACAGATAACGGGGCAAACATGCCTATTCCATGATCAGCAACCCGGAGGACACGGGTATTGGTGAGAATGAACCAGAGAGACACATGGGTGAGGCCCACATTGAACTGAGTACTACCCAGCTAAACAATACCAAAATACTCACCCAAGTTAGATTATTTATTTACTCACCTTTCTATACAGCAGTCAGCAGACTCAAGTAGCTGCTCACTGCATTTAAGAGCTAATGCAGAGTCAAAACTAGTCTGCACCACCCTTGCTCAACATGATGTGGATGTGGAAGAGACCACTTCACAAGGCAAAACCTGATTGGCTCGGCGCTGAAAGGCTGGCCCAGGTTTGAGTGGAGATCATCCAAATGCTGGAGCTCCAACTTAGAGTCTGGCAGCAGTAACTTGAGCTCAGCAGTTGTGCTGGTGTCCAAATCGCACAGCTGTACAAGGATCTTCACTGACGACTGAAAAGTTAATGCAATGGCCAGAGCCGACTCCTACCTGATACCCTGGCTGAAAGATTACATGGATTGGATAAGTAAAGCCACCCACAATACCCAGATAGATTTACTCAAGGTGTACTAGCTGGTTCCCGCAACTCCAGACAAGTTATATGGGCATTGAGTCATGTCATTTGGACTCCAAAATGCCCAAGCCACCTTTCAAAGGCCGATGAACCAGATCATGGCAGGTTTATCTAATTACTTAGTGTACCTAGACAATGTCCTAATCGACAGCAGCACCTGGAGAATGTATTTAGAGCAACCAGAAGCCCACTTCTGGAAAATATAGTCAGCTGACCTAGTAGTTAATGTTGCAAAGTGTGAGTTCACCAAGGCTCAAGCCACTTATATGACTAAATAGTGGGTCAAAGACAAGTACTACCCAGGGCTGCAAAGACAGACCAAACCTGGCCCAAACCTCAGCACAGTAGCTGCGCTGCTGATAGATGTAATACAGAAAACTGAAAAAAGTAGTAAAGACTGAGAAAATCCAAAATGATTTTGAAAAGCTGAAGACTATTGTACCGAGTGAACCTACACTTGCAGCTCCAAACATCAAACAAACTCTCAAAGTAGCCATCAACGTGCGTGCTATCAGGGTAACCGATCCATAATAGAGAGACCAATCAGGCATTTCTCCAAAAAACTAAACAACCATGAAAGATGGTACTGTACAGCACAGAACAAAACCCTGGTTTATTACTGGTGCTCAAACACTTTAAAATACATGTTCGAAATGGGTACCACAATCTATACTGGCAACAACCTGTTAAACTTGTGCGGAAAGGTTTATAAATCAAAATGCCAGGTTATTCCAATGGAGCTTGTTCCTTCCGTGCACCACTTTCAAATCACACACATTACCAGAAAATCAAATGTGATTGCAGAGGCCCTGTACAGAACTTAAAAGGACATGGTTAGAACCCAAAAAGTCAATTGACCAAGGCTAAAAAAAATGTTTGTACATGAAACTGTGTGTGTTGTTTTATTTTGAAATTTATATTTGCATTTTATTGTTCTGTGAAAAAGAGAGCAGATGTCATTTCATTCATTCTACAGAGTAAGTATTACGTCTGCTTTAACCAGCAGAGGTTAAAAAGTCAGCTTCAACTCTATTTCGAGCAGTAGTGGAATTGAACACATGGATGTACCTGCCTGGGAATGGTTAGGTGCAGCCCGATTTATGAGGGCTGTCAGTCCAACAATGCAATAATCAACTGAATGCAGCAGTGGTTACGTTGTCCCATGAGGGAAGAGGATGATGAAAGACAGCTCCTATTATGTGATACAAACTACCAGTCACATATAATGACTTTATTAATTAAAGGAGAAAATAAATACAGTGCATGCTATGTACTCGTTACTATTGTTGAGATGGTGTCCGACTCCTGTAGAGAATTTTAAGGTAAATTATTGTAGATTAATGACTGAAAATTTTTTTGTTTACCGCTTTAAGTGGCAACAAGCTCATCAGGTCACTGAAGGCTTCTTCTTCAATCAAGATGGCCTTCGTTATCAGTGAGTACGCATTTAATAGATGACGATGCTTCGTTTCCTCCTCTTCACTGTATTTAGCGAGCATGCTTTAAGAATAGAAAATTGCATTAAACTAGGTCCATACATTAGTAAAACCCATTCTAAACTAAAGCTTCCATTTTTCTTACTCCACTCCCCAAATAAAGCAAAAGAAAAGGGTGCATTGCTCAGTTGAGAAAATGTAGCCTGGCCACATGAACATAGAAGTAAAAAAAGTGAAGGCTACTGAGCAATTACCTTTCTAACCTGCATTCAATACACACTCAACTTGTAGAAAAAATAAATAAATACATAAAAATTGCACGTAAATGAACCTACGTTAGTATATCGGCATGTTGTCTCATTACATCCACTGATTCTTCTCTGTATCCATAGTGCAGCATAATATTTGCAAACTGTTCCATTTTAGCACAAGCTGATGACAACTTTTGCATGTTTTCTGGTTTCCTTAAATAAGAATAGCCTAATGTTTTCATGAATTCTATTTCAATTGATTCCAATCTATAATGGGAAAAAAAAGCTTCAATGTACAATATACACAATAAATAGCCAATAAAAAATTTTGCTTTAATAAATAATAAAAATGACTGGGAAAAGAAGGAAATTTATAGAGAAACAGCAGGGAAATGGATTTTTCAGCAACCCTCTGAAAAGGAACCATTGAACTGTGTTCCAGCTTTTCTCTCCATCAATAACCCCTGGTTTTTCCCATCTTTTATTAGATGGGATTGTATAACAGGGAGTTTATAAAGGCATTAGAGTTTTAATTTGTAGAATCATATACCTACAGTCCATAACTTTCTACTCAACTAGAATCTATTTATAGGGTTTTTGGAGTAGATTTGTAGCTCGGGTTGTGGATGTTGTGGTTCGTTGGCTCACCAAGCTGGTTTTCATTGTCCACAGACATTTCATTACCCTGCTGGGTAACATCATCAGTGCAGCCTCCGATGAAAGGCCGCTGTGTTTTCCCGCCTGGTTTTTAAACTCTGGTGTCCGTTGAGCTGGATGACCTCACTTCCGGTTTTCCTTCGCAATGGAGTATATATGGGGTCGAGTTCGATGTGTTTATTGATCAACAAACACATAGAACTCAACCCCATATACACTCCATTGCGAAGGAAAACCAGAAGTGAGGTAATCCAGATCAACGGACACCAGAGTTTAAAAACCAGGCGGGAAAACACAACGGCGTTTCATTGGAGACTGCACTGATGATAGAATCTATTTACTTGTAATAAGTAGTAATTTTTGTTAAGTACTGAAACCTAGTCTATACTTTCTATCAACCTGTGTCTGGAAGAGAAGTAAATGGGTATTTTGTGCATTTTCTTTAAAAATCTTTAACATTTTTGATGACTCCTAGAATAGCAGGGCATGATTTCCAGTGTAAAAACCGTGAGTCAACTAAGCTGCTATCAAAATTAAACAATATCCGAACATATTCATGCACAGATCGGAAAAGACACATCTTTGCAGAGATATTATGGGTTGTAAAATAACTTTTAAAAATAACACCCTGTGGAGCAAGAGTCCAAACTAAAAGGCTGGAATGAGCTGGCATCCCACAGGAGTAAGGTCAATTTTTACGGTATTAGGAAATAACTTTCAAAAGTTGATTGGGAGAGGCGATTCGCAGGCAAATGGACAGTTGGAAAGTGGAAGGCCTTCAAAAAGGAGATAGTGAGAGTCCAGAGGCAGTATGTTCCTGTTACTGCAAGAAGCAAGGCTGGTAGCTGTAGGGAATGCTGGATAACTAGAGAAATTGAGGTTCTGGTCAAGAAAAAGAAGGAGGCATATGGTAGGCATGGACAACTAGGATCAAGTGAATCCCTTGAGTATAAGGGTAGTAGGAGTATACTCTAGAGGGAAATCAGGAGGGCAAAAAGGGGGCATGAGATAGCTTTGGCTAAGGAGAATCCAAAGAGATTCTACAAACACATTAAGGGCAAAAGAGTAACTAGGGAGAGAATAGGGCCCCTTAAAGAGGGACAAGGCTATCTGTGTGTGGAACCACAAGAGATGGGTGAGATACTAAATGAGTATTTCCTGTCAGTATTTACTGTGAAGGTCAATATGAAAGCAAGGATCAGTGCTGGGTCCACTGCTTTTTGTCATTTATATAAATGATTCAGATGTGAAAATAGGAGGTATGATTTGTAAGTTCTCAGGTGACACTAAAACAGATGGTGTAGTGAACACTGAAGTTATCTCAGAGTACAACAGGACCTTGATTAGGTGGGCTGATGGGCCGAGGAGCGGCAGATGAAGTTTAATTTAGCTAAGTGTGAGGTGTTGCATTTTGGTAAGGCAAATCATTGCAGCACTTATTCACTTAATGGCAAGGTCCTGGGGAATTCAGCCAAGCAAAGAGACATTGGGGTGCAGGTTCATAGTTCCTTGAAGGTGAAATCGCAGGTAGACAGGGTAGTGAAGAAGGTGTTTGGTATGCTTGCCTTCATTGAAAGCTAGAGAATTTGGAGAAATAAATAGTGATATGTTGAAGAGTGCCTAAATTACAGAGGATGACGTACCAGATGTCTTAAAACACATAAAGGTGGTTAAATCCCCAGGACCTGATCAGGTATATCCCAGAACCTTGTAGGAAGGTAGAGAAGTGATTGCTGGGCCTCTTGCTGAGATATTTATTTCATCTTTAGCCACGGGTGAGATGCTGAAAAGTAGCTAATGTGGTGCCATTATTTAAGAAAGGTGGTAAGGAAAATCTAGGGAACAATAGACTGGTGAGCCTGATGTCAGTGGTGGGTAAGTTGTTGGAGGGGATTCTGAGGGACAGGCTTGACATGTATTTGTAAAGACAAGGACTAATTACGGATAATCAACATGCCTTTGTGTCTGGGAAATCACGTCTCACTAATTTGATTGAGATTTTTGAAGAAGTGAAAAAGAAGATTGATGAAGGTAGAGCAGCAGATGTTGTCTATATGGATTTCAGCAAGTCATTCAATAAGGTTCTGCATGATCGACTGATCAGCAAGGTTAGGTCATATGGAATCCAGGGAGAGCTATCCATTTGGATACAAAATTGGCTTGAAGGTAGAAAACAGAGGGTGGTGGTGGAGGGTTTTTTTTTGGACTTGAGGCCTATGACCAATGGTGTGCCACAAGGATCCGTGCTGGGTCCACTGCTTTTTGTCATTTATATAAATGATTGAGATGTGAACATAGGAGGAATGGTTAGTAAGTTCTCAGTTGATACTAAAATAGGTGGTGTAGTAGACAGTGAAGAAGGTTATCTCAGAGTACAACAGGACCTTGATTAGGTGGGCTGATGACCGAGGAGCGGCAGATGAAGTTTAATTTAGCTAAGTGTGAGGTGTTGCATTTTGGTAAGGCAAGTCATTATAGCACTTATTCACTTAATGTTGATGTCCTGGGGAATACAGCCGAGCAAAGAGACATTGGGGTGCAGGTTCATAGTTCCTTGAAAGCAAAATCGCAGGCAGACAGGGTAGTAAAGAAGGCGCTTGGTACGCTTGCCTTTATTGGTCAGTGCATTGAGTATAGCAGTTGGGATGTCATGTTGCAACTGTACAGGATGTTGGTGAAGTAACTTTTTCACGCAGAGCGTGGTGTGTGTATGGAATGAGATGCCAGAAGAAGTGGTGGAGGGTGATACAATAACAACATTTAAAAGGCATCTGGATGGGTACATGTATAGGAAGGGCTTAGAGAGATTTGCATCAAATGCTGGCAAATGGTACGACAGCAGTTTAGGATATCTGGTTAGGATGGACAAGTTAGACCAGAAGGTCTAACTGTTCCTGTGATGTATAACTCTGACTTTAGTTCCTTCAGTTTCCTCTCAAGAATATCAAGTTGCTCTTGACAGAAGGGCCTTGGAAGATCCTCCATTTTGTTGAAAAATCAGTCAGACCAAAGTCTTTGGATTGAATTAACTATTCAGCTTTCAGAATTCATAAGGAGATCAGAGATTCTGACTTCTGGAACTTCCTATAATTCCCAGGAAAAAAAAACTTTTCTGAAATTTTTCTTCAGCTGTATTTCTTTTAAGGGTTATCTTTTACTGAATGAGGGATAGAGAGAGAGAAAGATAAGATAGAGAGAGAGAAAGATAAGATAGATAGATAGAGGGATAGATAATATAGAGAGATAGAGAGAACTTGCTTCTCCTTACAGGCATCTCTACAATTGCCCCATCTGGGTGTGTACTGAGGAAACAACTTTAGCTAAGAGGATGTTGCTAGGCGTACCTTCAGCACGGATACAAGGGTCTAGAGATGTCCTCAAAGCATCCCTGATAAGGTCAAACATCCCCATTGGAGTCCTTGGTTTGACCAACCAGAAAGAGGGTTTAGTTGGGAAGGCACTGAATATATCCAGAAACTTTGTTGGGAGAACAGAGGCAGAGGCAAAATCCAAGCAGCAGAGAACGTGCACATGCATCCAATATCTAATGTGCCTGCCACTTCATGCATAACCTGCCTCACATGGCAGAATCAGCAGACTGCACATTGGACTCATCATCCATCTCAGGACACAGTGGAATGGAAGCAAGTCATCTTCAATCTCGAGAGACTGCCTAAGACACTGAAGATTATGGCTCAAGTCTTCCAATTACTGTTGGAACAGATCTAACCAACAGGAATCCTATTTAAGATTATTGCCCACTTATCCGTCAACAATTTTTACAGCCTGGCTTCATAGCCTGACCTGTCCTGGATGCTTCCATTGTAGGAAATCAGCTTATGATCCACTCAATGCAGGATCACTGTTGGAGGCCAAGAGACATCCCTATTTTTTCCAGCATTAACTGCTGTATCCCAGTTAGTAAAATACTTAAGGTCCCAAAGTCATTTTGACAGTTATTTAGAGAAGTGAACAATACAAGTCGGAGGTGGGGGAAAGAATAGAAGGTGAGTGGGTGAGGAGGTGGGGCATCAGGCTTATAAAAGGGTAGCATACCAGGTGGGTGAGGGGTTTGGGTGGTACGTGGGTGAGGTTGTCGGTAGTAGGTGCGTGAGGGTATACATGTGGCATGTAAGTAATTAAAAGTTATTTAGTGGAAGTAAGTATATAAGGTAAGAGGGAAATAAGTGTAGAGGGGCAAGTGGGTGGGACAGAGGTAAAGTGTCAAGTATTTGACAGATCATGTGTTGTGGGTGACAAGGTAAGGAGCAAGTTGACTAAGGGGATAGGGTGCTTGGTTGGTAAGTGGGTAGGCTGATGGGGTAGGGTGTACATGCAAATGGGGGACAGTGGTGTCAGGTGTTCACTGGAATTGATTCAAGTGTTTGGAGGATCCATTTTTGGAGTATTAGCCACAACCTAAAGCAGGTTTTTACATTCCTCTAACTTTTCCTGGTAATTGAGTTGGAACCCTCTGAAATCTGCAACTCTAATTCAGAGTTGGGAATTTCACTGGATGTTCCGAATGCCAGATAATTACCAATCAAAAGTTTAAACTTCCTGGGCAAAACTGTGTTGTCAGTGCATTGGCATTTCCAAGAGACCCCAAACTGCATCTTTCGGGCTAAATCTGATCTCCAACTTTCTGGAAACAAAAAGACCCAGAACTATACGCGTAGTAACATGGCACACAAAATCCAGCAAGATTTTGTATTCATTGAATTTTCTCACTTAACTAATTTGAAGAATTTTCTGAGATTATAGAATTTATAGAAATTGGTCCAACTAAAAACGGACAGTCCACAGCATAAACCTCGGAACTATTGTGCTTTCCTATGGTGATACAAAGATACATTTTTCAATTCTGTCTTGAAGATATCATTCTTTTGGCAGTTGGATTTGATACAAATACCGAGATCCACAGACCACTGTGTTTTCTTTTAAAACAGAGACTGACCTACCATAAATTCCATAATTTTGCATCCTATCAGGTGGGATGTGAAACAGAAGATCAAACCTGTGGGGAACTTGAAACATCACATCTCTTTTGTTTCACAGCATCCTGAAAGCTTTCAAATGTTTTTGAGATGAGACATGAAATTCCAACTACTTGTTTTGAAGCAATATCTGCTGCAAATATGAATTCATAGTCAATCTGGAATGTACCAATGGGCAAGGGCCTTTTGCCAAGTGGGAGAGAGATTATGCAAGAGTACTCCAGAAGATAATTGCAGAAGCTCTCTCTCTCTTTGGAAGTGATGTGTCTGGCTCTGCAAATGTGATCAGCTCAGTCAGAAATCTAATTATGAACCAAGATCTTCTAAAACATTGAAATCTGCTCTGTATGACTGCATCCAGGAGAATACCTAAACAATCATAATTTTGAATTTACCTCACCAAGAGCAATCCAGGAAATGCTAACGGTGTATTCCCTCACTTTAACTTTCAGGGATTATCATCTCCTTGGAAGTTTTGTCTTTTGCACTGAGATCTACAGTTGTGTATGTGCAGGTTCAGACAAATATGTGTGACTGTATGAATAGTGTTGTGGTACCTAGACTTTCCTAACTCAGTGAAAAACAAAGATAATTTCAGAAAACTTGTAGTCTTCTTCTTCATCTCATCTAAGGAAGCCTGTCCAAGTAAATTATTCATAACCTCAAAACATGACTCATGGAAGAGAGTTGCCAAAAGTCACCTTCTCTAAACTCATGGTAAAAACCTGTTAGTCAAATGAACAGTGGAATAATCAAGGGTGTCATTTCATCCTTTTTCACCAGTCATAACAATAGTTACAGCAATTCTCTTCAAATCACAGAAATTCTCCAACACTATCTTAGTATTACACAGAACTTACTTGGCTTCCATTGAAGTAATCATAAATTTAAGAACTGTATGTCGATGAGGTCTTTCCTCTAAAACAGTCTGGTATTTTGCAATGCCCTGTTTTAAGATGCTGCAAACCTGAAAATATAGTAATGCGAGTTTTTATACATGTAACCAAAATATTATAAACAATAATATTTTAAGTGTACAATTTTATGCCATTTGTGCAGCACACTCTTGAAACAACACTTTCACTTCTTGAGGGTAGTGGCACAGTGGTAATGTCGCTGCACCAATAATCCAGAACCCCAGCCAAAGTTCTGGGGACATGGATTTGAAATACACCATGGAAGATGGTGAATTTGAATTCAACAACAAAAAAATAAAAAGAATAAAAAGACTAGCTTAACGGTGACTATGTAATACTGCTAATTGTTGTTAAAGATCCCATCTGGTTCACTAAGAGAAGAAAATCTGCCGTCCTTACATGTGACTCCAGACCCACATCAATGTGTTGACTCTTAGCTGCGATCTGGGTAATAAATTCAGCCCTAGCCTGCAACATTCATGGCATCCCATGAATGAATACTAAAAAACTTGACATTGGACAGAATGACAGACTTTCATGTCTGCCTTCGTTGACTATTTTAAAAGGTAAGCAAAAATGCTCCAAGGCAGTAGGTTGAGGGATATCAAGAACTATTTGCCTTAAATTAACATGATAATATGATTTATAAACAGAAATTCCTGGAATTATTTAAACAGACAGCACAGGTTCCATGTTGAAAGAGTTTAATTAGACAACTAGATAGATATATAGGATATATACTTAAAGGTTATATCGTTATATAGCAGCTTGGAAGACTTGGTATAGAGTGATGCTAGGTCAAGGCTTTAAAGGTTAAAACATAGTATACTGAATGTAAGATTAATTTAGAACTGTGCAGATACAGAAGAGACATGAGCCATTTAGCTACACAAGGAGATATAACTACGATAATGTTTGTAAAAGTAGAAACTTGTTAATGTTACAGAGAGTTACTTGCTGTAAAAGAGAACCGGTTTGGATTTTTAAGGGTCATGGTGAAAAGAGGTTGATTAGCCTTCCAACATGATGCATTTTAATTGCAACCTTCTAAAGACGCATCAATATTTTTTGGTATAAAATAAATGGTATACTGCAAAGTGTAAAAGAATGCAAAGAAACCTTAGTTCACCGAGGAGTATTTCTCAAGCTCTAACACCACATACATGTGGTACAAACACTGTAACACAAAACACATTAGTGAATCATATTTTTGTTTTTTTTTGCAATCAGTTATAGCTTTATGAATGCCATTACTGAAGCTAGCTTTAAATTCCAGATGTGTTAATTAATTGAACATAAACTCCATGAGCAGCCAGGATAGGATATTTATCAATATCTCCATAGCATTTCCTTGGGACTGAAGTCTAGTGACTTCAATATGTAAGACCATAAATAGGAGAAAAAAGTAAGACATTCAGCCTTCAAGCCTGCTAATTTATAAGATCATGGAAGATCTGTCCTAGCCCTCAACTCCTTGGAATTTCAAAAATCTATCGACTTTCTCTTTACATATTCCGGTGATCTAGCCTTCACAACTCGCTGGAGTAGAGAATTCCAGACATTCAATAATCTCTGACAGAAGAGACTTCTTTGCAATGCTTGAACAACGAATGTCCCGTTATGCCATAACTAAGTGCCCGAGTTTGAGATTCCTCCACTAGTGCAAACATTTTCTCAACATCGACCCTGTCAAGGCCCCTCAGAATTTTTTGACTTTCAATTAGGTCACCTCTCATTCACCTAAACGCGAATGAATAAAGGTCTAACTTGTTTAGGTGATCCTAACAAATCAAGCCTTCATTCCAGGCATCAACTTAGTGAATACCCTTTGAGCAGCCTCAAGACAGTAAATCCTTTCTTAAATATGACCAAAATTGTACACAGAACTCCGGGTGCAGCCTCACCAACATCCTGTACAATTGTAACAGACTTTTCTATTGTTAAACTCTAACCTCCAATTGATAAAGGCCAAAATTCCATTTGAGTTCTTAACTATTGGCTGTATGTGCATGCTAAAGTTTTGTGTTTCATGCACAAGGACAACGAGATCCCTGTTGTGCTGTATGTTTTTTCAGAGTTTCTCTCTCCATTTAAGTAACAGTCTTCCTTTTGATTCTTCCTCGCAAACTGCATGACCTCACTTTGTCAACCGATCAATATCCCATTGTAGATTCATTATGTCCTCACGACAACATGCCTTCCCACCTATTTTTGTATCATCAGCAATTTTGGATATATTACATTCTTCTCCAAGCCATCAACAATAGATAGCAAATAATTGAGGCCTAGGATCAATCCTTGTGGTATTCCACTCGTTATATCATTTCCAACCTGAATAAGAACCATTAATCCCGACTCTCTGTCCTCCATGTGTTAATCGACTTTTAATCCATGCTAATGCATTACTCCCAAAATCATGAGGTCCTATCTTGTGTAATAACCTTTCATGTGGCACCTTATCAAATGCCTTCTTGAAATAGTAGGCCACCTTCTTCCCAATTTAAGTTCAAGTGAGATGATATCATTATCAAGGTATACTGGAACTGATAGAGTTGCATCAAAGCAGAACTAATTCAAAATGTTACCCTTGGCTAAAGTAACATATGATCCATATTTTTTGGAAGATAAACTTCTAACTCTGTAAATGTTTATAAATGAATGTTTCATTTACAATGGAACACGAGTCTTAATTCTAAGAAAGGAAACCTTAGGTGTGGTTACACTACTAATTGATTGATTTATTCTCAAATGTACTGAAGTACAGTGAAAAGCTTTGTTTACGAGCAGTATACGCAGATCATAGCAAGCAAGGATGTACAGATCAAAGGTTGTAAGAAGACTTAGACAGGGGCATACAGGTTACAGTACTGGTAATGCCAATTCAGGTATGCTGAATATAGGATTAATTCACCAAGCAGCACTGAGAGCTTGATCTAAAGGGATTATAAAGAAATTTTAAGGCCCCCTCAGGGGGAAGTGATGGCCTAGTGGTATCAATGCCGGACAATTAATCCAGAGACCAAGGCAATGTTCTGGAGACTTGGTTTCAAATTCTGCCATGGTAGAATTTGAATGCATTAAAAAAAATCTGGAATTCTGAGTCTAATGTTAATCATGAAACTGTCTTTGATTGTTGCAAAAACCCATCTGGTTCACTAATGTCTTTTACAAATGTAAACTGTCATCCTTACCTTGTCTGGCTTACATATAACTCCAGACCCATAGCAATGTGGTTGATTCTTAACTGCCCTCTCAGCAGTTAGGGATGGGCCATAAATGATGGCCTAGCCAATGATGCCCACATTCCGTGAATGAACAAAAACGTGGTCAGCGTTATGGAACAGCCATGACAGATCAACTTCAAAGTATCAGAACTGAAATCCTCCAATAGGTTTTACACTGCAAAATGCAATAGTGCATGGCAACGACTAATATACAAGTCTTTTGTCTTTGCTCTTCCTCATTCTTTCAATACATTGTACAAAAAAATTTCTCACAATAAGTCAGTGAAAAACCATCACCTCTTGGACTGGTACAGGTTGGCCTTCAGAAGCAGTGGCAAACAGTGAGTGTTGAGACTCACACTGGTGGCATATGTCAAATTTAAATAATGTCTAATCGTTAAAGTTGTTTGGACCTTCTCACATAAGCAAGAGACAAACAGCAAAATTGCTCAATTTAGTGGCTGTCCGACAAAACAAGATCAGAGTCTTAGTTTGTTTATTCAGTACTGTGATACTAGAACAAACTAATTACTAATGCACTAGAGAAGTGCAATACGTTAATAAAGAAATGACTGTAGATTCAAAGTCCAATTGATTTATTGCTGTGAAGAAGACCTCCCTGACTATCTGATTACATTTGATTCATTTTTCATGAAAATAATCAATAATTGGAGAAATTCAAGCCTGGGTTCATTGAGGATAGGACAGCAGACAGAGCTGCTCAAGTTTGATATTAAGAAAAATTAAGATAAATCCTGAAAAAGTGCATAGAGAAATGAGAGAGTTTAGGACCATGACCTATTCCTGGAAGGAATAAAAATAAAACATGCGTGAAGTACACACCGTCCATCCCCGATAACCTTTTATTCCATTTTTCATCAAGAATAAACGTGACTCTGTCTTTCTTCTCTGATCTGGTTCATTTAATTCATTATAGGAATTAAATTATTAGGAATGAGATAGCCATTAGTTTCTCACCTGTTCCTTTGAATTCTTAAGATTTTCTCCCTGAATTGCACATATCAGACAAGTAATTGTGTCATACCAGAAGTATTCATTTCCTCCAATACTTTGAGCTTCTTTCAACAGCAATTTAGCCTGACCGTGGTTTTTTTCACAATTAGCTAGAACAGCCAGAAGGTATAGGACCTTTGCCAAATTGGCTTTGTCTTGAAACTCCTAATAGAGGAAAGAAAAAGATGAAAATTTCGGAAAGCTTTGTCAGGAATGCTTAACAGCTAAACCAGAATTAAATGAGAAAGCGACTGGAAATTTCAATGTGCATAAATTGGATGTGTTATGTATTCGTGAAATATAAACTTGGATATTTGGAATTGGGTTCAAATTCCCATCAAATTTGTTTGCACTTTTTTTTGCAAACCTTTAAGAATTTCAGCTGGAAAGCTATGGAAATCTCTATTTTATGGAAAGGGAATAAATATATGCATTAATTACTCCAAAGTTAATTTATATTTTGACAGGTAACAGCAATTTAATTAATGACCTTTATTTTCTTTCAAAAATCATTAATAGCATTGCTATATCATCCACGGATGGACAGTAAACTAACCTTTGCAACCATGTGAGCCTCTGCTAGTAGAGTTCTGGCAGGCTGATAAAATGCAAGCTGCAGCAAGACTTCTGCTTTATTAATCCAAACATCCATCACAGAAACTCCACTCAACTTCTTGCGATTCATCACAGGTGACATAGTAGGCATCTTGTATATAAAAAATAAATTAAAAATTACACATAGGGTTGGATTTTCATCCATGTGGCAGAAATTGGGACATTTCTCAACCTTACAAATGCCCTCCCCCATCCACCATTCATGGAAAGACAGTAGGAGACTGAGTCAGCACCGTCATCAGTTATAAGACTTCATGATTAACATGTTGGCCACCTATCATGTCTGCTACATTTGGCTTCAGTTGACACCATTTTGAAATTAAACCTCATTAAAAATCCTTGCCTGAGGTCTAAGCTTCACTAACGGATTCAGTCCAGAAGAGATTGTTTACTCAGCTGTGACGGGCCATTGAGTTATGTTTAACAGTTTTATGAGCTTCTGAGAATAATATTTTATTTCAAGTGATTATTGAACGCCTATGATTTTATTTTTATTCACTTATGGGACATGCGCATCACTGTCTGGGTAGCATTTATTGCCAAGCCCTAGTTGTCCTTGAAATGTGGTGGTGAGTGGATTGCTAAGCCATTTCAGAGGGCAGGTGAGAGACAACCACATTGCTGTGCCTATGAAGTCACATGTAGGCCAGACAGGTGAGGGTGGCAGGTTTATTTTTTAATTCCTTGACAGGATTAGGGCATCACTGGCTGGGCCAGCATTTATTGCACCAACCCCAATCACCCAGAGGGCAGTTAAGAACCAACCACATTGCTGTGGATCTGGAGTCATATGTAGGCCAGACCAGGTAAGGATGATTACTGTCCTTTAGGGAAGGAAACTGTGAACCTGATGAGCTTTTCCAACAAATAACAATGGATTCATAGTCATCATTAGATTCTAAATTCCAGATTTCTTTTGAATTCAAATTCCACCATCTGCCCAGAAAATTACCTGGGTGCTTGAATTAATAGTCTAGTGATAATACCACCAGGCCATTATCTTCCCATTTTGATAGCATTGTCAGAATTTGGTTGGAAAAAAACATTTTTTTCAAGGGGAGTTTGAATGGACCTATGTTTATTTTAACAGTTCCATAAGAATTTCAAAGTCTTTCAAGTGCGATCATAAGTTCTACCCATTGTGGCAAGTGTTTCAAAGGCTGAGCAGGTCTCTAGAGTTTAAATAATTTTCCTCTGTGAAGCATCCGTTAGATTTGTGCTGTCCCTCTATGTCAAATGAAAATGGACTAAAAGTGCCTCCTTTTTTAGTACAGCAAGTGAAAGAGCATACTACATCTGATTTTAACTCACTTCATTGGTTTAAAAATATTGGGCCAATTTAAAGAGGCTCTGTGCTATTAATGGAGGTACATGTTTAAACTATAAATATGGGCATTGAAATCTTGTGCTGTTCCTAGAACCCTGTATTTTCTTGAATGATCTGCATGAAAAGAAATGAGACTGAGTCTAATGTAAATAACAATTATTAAAACCAGAATTCATATTTGCCCAGGTCTTCTGAGGAGCAGCAATAATTATCAGATCGCCACTCCACACAAACTTTCATCCCAACTCAACCCTGCGGCATATTTCTTGTGAGGAGCTGCCCTCAGCCCAGCTTTATCAGAAATGCAGAACAGAGCATCCCTTGGAGAGGTCTGAGGCAAATGGAGTAAAGTGAGGGCACTAGCTGCCATGTGGTATGTTTAAAAGTGCAGTCTAAATGTTAAGGAATTGGTGAACGCGATAATGGGTAGGGTGGGTACATCAGTGGGTTACACTGGCAGGCTGGGTGAGTGAATTGGGCAGGGTGTGAGAGCTTTGAGATCTGGCAGATAGGTAGAATGGTGGATGGGAGAGGTGACAGGTGGAAAGTGGAGTAGTTGAGTAGGGTGGCACATGAGTGGGATAGCAGGTGGCTGAGGTGCCAGTTGGGTGGGTGTAGCTTGTCAGTTTATTGGGGAGGGGTAGTTCAAGGATGAGAAGGGGTGGTGCAATCAGTACGTAGTCAGGGGTGTCATTGTGAATGATTGGAGTGTGTGTTCTGGACTTGCCCTTGGATTACATTCATTTTTTCTGTTTGATATTTCCTGGGTAACTATTTAGCTAATTATAGAGAAACTATCCAAAGTCAGCTTGACTCAGATAGCCAGTGTGTGGTTCAAAATAATATCAACAATGCAGGTTTGATGCCTGTTCTAGGTGGGGATCTGCCTCCTCACCCAATACTTCAGAATGGAAGACAAACGCAAATCACCACTAGTAGAAAACATCAATGACTCAGGATGAAGTATCACCAAAGAATGAACCAAGAATCTGCCTTTGACGCATGACGTGATGTCGCCATTATGGGCAAATTCTGAAGCCACTGCTGCTAATTCCACTCTCCTCTTAAGCAATCCCTTTGGAGTGAGGATGATTCGATCCTGCCCTGGTTGGTTCGGTCCTGAAATGGTTGATAAGTCAAATGTGGGATTTGCAGTCTGTACCATGTGCAGGAAGCTCAGCTAATCGCGTTGTTTGGATGTTGGTGCTGGTTCCAGAGAAAAATCTGCTAATAGCAAAGCACCTCAGACTGGAACCCTAAGCACTTATATGACATTGGCACATCTGGTATCCCAAACTACTACTAAAAGACTGTGCAAAATGATGGCAATAATGACTTTCAAAGTGTTTTAGTTTCTAACTTGGGTTTATGTCATGGTTGAGAGACCCCCATAAAATATGAGCACATGTGAGGAATCTAAGAACATAATCATTCAGAAGGACCTGACTGTCTTTGTACATGGTTACAAAAAATTAATTTGCCAGTGCAACAAAAAAAAGCCTAATGTTTGGGTCTACAAGAATAAAGAAATCTTACTCGAATTACACATTGGTTTTGTTGTCCTTAAGGATATTGTTGCTCTGCCTCTAGGGCAAGTAATTTTAATTAGATTGGTGCCTGGGATGTGGAGTAATTCCTTTGAGAGAGATTGATTAGACTAAGCCTAGTACCTTGAGTTTAGATGAATGAGAGGAGATCAAATTTAAAAATATAAAATTTCTAACAGGCTAGACATGGGAGCAGCTAAGAAAACGTTTCCCCTAGCTGGGGAATCTAGAACATGGGGTCACATTCTCACGATAAGGGATCTTTCATTTTGTACTGAGATGAGTATAAATGTCTCCATTCAACGAGTTGTGAATCTTTGGAATTCTCTAACCCTGACAGCTATGGGTGCTCAGTCATTGAGCACATGCAAGAACAAATTGGATATGTTTTTCGCTATTAACAGACAGTGTGGGAAGCTGGGATTGAAATAGAAGATCAATCATATCTTGTTCAATGGGGAGCATGCTCAAAGGGCCAAACGGCCTTCTCCAGTTCTTGTTCCTTATGTTCCTAAAAAAATTCACAGCATCACTCAATTTTCTTTCTGAAAAGTCTTTGCTCTTTTCTTCAAGTTCATCTCTTACCACACTTAGGATCGTCATTAAAAAAAGACAGCAAACCACAAAAGTGATCAATATTTGCTTTCAGAGTCATGCCTCACCATTTCCTTGTTTGAATCTTTTAGTGTTTCAGCTAGGTTTTCATTTTCAATTAACTGGTTTTCCTTTGCAGCATGCAATCTCCGATCTTTCAGATGAGCAACTTCTTGCCGACATCTTAAGAAACAGGATATTCATATTAAGCATTTTTACTATACAAGATTTAAATTAATCAAAAGTAAACATGGTTACTTACAACCACTAATAATATGGTACAGTGCCTCAAACGTGACTAAAGTTTGGTGATGTCCAAAACCAGATTTTTTTAATTAAATAAATGCAAGAGTTTTAATTGTTGACAAGTGATTGAAAAAAAACTTACAGGTTTGTTGTGGGAATTGCTGCATTGGCATAACGAGTGTCAAGTAGTTGTGTGCTTTGTGGCACTATCGTATTAAATTAACTTTTGAGTTAAGCAAATCTATAATGCTGAGAAAACATCCTTAATTTGGCATTACGTACCAATGAAAAGCTTAACTACAGCTGATGTAACTAACAGCTGTAAAGGGCAGAAAAGTTAGGCTAACTTTGTTTGGTTGTGCTAATGTGACTCGAACGTACAAGCTGATGTGTATTCAAAAAATGCCAGTGCCCATCACGTTGCAAGGGGTAAGAATATTTCCAGTGCATTCTTAAGGTAACAAGATACCATGGAACAACCAAAGAAATACATTTGGACTGGTTTCACAAGCACTTATTGCAGATCAGTTGGGCTTAGTGAAAACTGCAAGATATTGTTGTTACTTGACAATTCATCAGCACATCCTGAGGCTAAGGTTTTCTGATAGGCAATGTCTGGCAAATATTTACCATCAATGATACAAGCAATGGACCAAGGAATTGTTAAGTTTCACAAACTCTAAGTATAATTAGAAGAACATAAGAAGCAGGAGCAAACCACTCAGCCCCTCAAGGCAGCCCCACCCTTCAATAAGTATATGGTTGGTTTTTCCCACACCTCAATTCCCCTTTCGTGCCAGCTCCACACAGCCCTCAACTCCTTGATATTTCAAAAGTCTATCTACCACCTCTAAATATTTCAGTGATTGAGGCTCTACGACTCGGTAGAGAATACAAGACTTTCACTCCCCTTTGGGAGAAGAAATTGCTTTGCATCTAGTTTTAAAATGAGAGTGTCAGAATGCTGTAAATGTGTCTCCTGACTCAAGATTCCTGAACTAGTGGAAACAGCTTTTCAACAGCCACCCTTTGAAGCCCCCCTCAGAATCTTGTATGTTTCAATAAACTCATCTCTCATTCTTCTAAACTTTCATGAATAAAAGCCTAAATTAAGTTCATAGAGACGTACAGCACGAAAACAGACCCTTCATTCCAACTCGTCCATGCCAACCAGATATCCTAAACAGATCGAGTCCCATTTGCCAGCATTTGGCCCATATCCTTCTAAACCCCTCCTAGTCACATACTCATCCAGATGCCTTTTAAATGTTGTAAGTGTACCAGCCTTCACCACTTCCTCTGGCAGCTCGTTCTATACACGCACCATCCTCTGCATAAAAATGTTGCCCCTTCAGTCCCTTTTAAATCTTTCCCCTTTCACCTTAAACCTATGTCCTAAGTATGCCCTAACCATACCTAAGTATGAACAACCTATTCCAACAACTAACACTCTCTCCAAAGCATTTACAAACTGATACGCATATTCTGTGAATAGCACAGCAGCTTGCACAAGCTGCAGTTCACTGAGGAGGCTGCATTTGGATTGAGGTATGTACAACATAATGATTTGCAGCAAACCAATTCATGGTCTGTTGATCCTTCACCTCTGTAAACTTATGAGACCCACTCAAAGATGATTGGTGGCAGTATCCTTCTATCCACAATTACCACATGGCCCACAACAAGACAAGGGTATAAAACAGCTCAACTCTAAAACTAAAGTAGCTATGCAATTACGATATTTTAGGTATGACAAGTGGCATCTTGGTTCCATGCATATGTGCACAGTTCTAGTACAGGTCTCTACAGACATCATCTTAAGTAGAGCATTAGCACGGACACAGAGAGCATGCACAGAAGGTATGGATAGTGGGTAGATTGTGACATCAAACAGGATGCAGTGTAAACACTAAACCTAACAGTGATTTGATGCCAGTGAAATCAATTCAAATTTTGATTAACACACTCTCTGAATAGGCACAGCTGAGCATATATTCAGCAGCAGGAAGGAGCGCCCCTCCCCAACCCTATACACTCACAGGCGCGCGCGCGCACACACACACACACACACACACACACACATGCAGCTATTCAAAGGCTGTGTGTAGTGAGTATTGGGAGGCCTCAGAAAGAGTAGCAGATTTATTAGAAGATTATCTAAAATTCATTCAAATACTGCAACTCCTGTACTGCAAAAGAAAGGATTACACCAAAGCTTTCTTGAAATAGAAGAAACTGAAAAATACTGTGGGCAGAAAATATTCACTCAGTTCTACCAAGGGGTAATTTTAAGTTTGACATGTGTGTAAACAGAAAACACTGGATTAGCCATCTACTGTACGTCACTCCTTATTTTTATTTTAGTTGACATAATTTAATATTTTGAAGAGAATGCCACATAAAATTAATTGGAAAGTTTCATCTGAAATAATTCTTTGCTTTTCTCATTCAATATTGTATCTAGAAAAAATTGTAAGCTTTGCTCAATTACACTGAAACTAATGGTCTTCATAAATTAAATTTCAATGGGTTTTACCAGTTGAAAAGTATACATTCAACTGTATGGCTTAATCTAGCCACCAGGAAAATTGCTTACTTCACACTTTCATATTTTTAAAAATGTTGCATTATTTGTGCAAATATGAACTACACCGTCCTGAACAATAACAAAAATAGCATACTTAGCTCGTTCTGCCTCATGAATAAACACTGATCCAGGTATCTTTTCATGGTACTGTGCAGACTGCCTTAGATTCAGTTCTAAACATATCTGGGCAAGCCTGTAGAAAATAAACACTTTATTTGTAATTCAGGACAAGGGACAGAGTGCAAACAAAACATCTGGTAAATGTAATTTTGTGATTTAGCAACTGCTGTGGTAAAGGAAATAGATATTGCAAATCTTAACTGCTGCTAGGATTCAAGTAACTGAAACTGTACATTGAACAAATCTGTTAAAGTATGCATTCTGTAATAACAAAGGTATGAAGAATAACATCATTTCTCAAGCATTCTGCCTCAGTATTTACGTAGGAAGATAAAAATAGTTCAGTGCAGTTATTAAGGGTGAAGTAGGAGGGCCACTAATGACTAGAAATGCTCAGAAGGAAACTGCATGAAGAAATTAATGGGAAGAAAAGAAGAAATGTTTCCAGGCCCACACAGCGTAAATTCCAATATACTGAAAAATTGAAGAAGGCTGTTCATTACTTTCTTAACCATTTTCTGAAATGGGAATTATGTTTAAGAACTATAGGGTGGCAGAATCTATATCCCTATTTAATTAAAGGGGAGTGCTATATCAATGTATTATACACTAGTCAGTCTGACCTCAACTGCTGGTAAATTGCAGCCCAACAGTGATAGTTTAGGAAGGTACAGTCTAATCTGAGAAGGTCACTTCGGGAAGAGTAAACTATACCAATTTAAGCAAACATTTCAAAAAACTACTGGTGTTCATAGGACAAGGCATTGGGTGGTTATTTGACACTGCTTGCTAAGATGGTTAAAAGCAGAATTATGAAGCCTGATGCACAGAATATTACAAGGAATATCGTCCTACGCATAGTGAAATAAGCTATGGGGACAGAAAGCAGAATGAAGGGACAAATGTTTGTTTCTCAGTTGGTGAAATATAAATAATATATTACCCAGGGAATTATGTTGACTATCATTGAAAAATAGATGGCATGAACATACCCAAGAGAATTTTTTTTCCCAATTATACTCATTTGTTGTAGATATAAAGGAGTGAGGAAAATTGCAGGTGATTCCTGGGGAATATTACAGGTTTAATGGTCTAATGACAGTGGTAGAAGCACAAGGCAGTTTGAGAACATTTGAGAAAAAATGGTAGTGAAAGGAACTGAAGGTGAATTGCTGGAAATTTTAAGAAAGTGGATGAGAGACAGAAAGGTTTAAGGATGCAGAGCCAGAGAGCTATAAAAAGGGATGGTGAAGGTCACAAAAATGAGAGGTTAATGTTGAAGTTCTGTGACACATTGGTTAAATCATTGTGGAAGTAATATTTGTAGCGCCAATCATTCCATTAAAGCTAGGAATTTATGAGGGCTTATGAGTAAGCAGCATTTGGTAAGTGATATGAAGAACAGTTTGTCATCCGTTGGACATAACACAAGTTGGAGAAGTGGAGGCTGATCAATTCTAAAGGACATAATGCCATGGTTAAGTAGGGGAGGGGGAAATGGCTGAAAAAACGTGGCCTTTGGGCTGAATCTCTTTTTAAATAAACAATTTATATAAATTATAAAGAAAAAATAACTAAAGAGGCAATATAACCATTACTGAAATTATATAACATTCGGAGATAACTAATTACTGCACTTTGAAAAAATCATTAACCTGAGATGGTAAAAATCAGAGAGGCTCTTGCTATCCAACACCTCAGTGGCTATGAAATCTGCCAGCTGAAGAATCGGCAACGTCAGGTGTGTGTATGAAATGGCTTGCAACTCCTTCACCAATAAATCCAGGTAGAATAAACTGTAGGTCTTTCAAAAGGAAAATAAATTAGTTAGTCTTGTGGAACTAGGTTTTCAAACTTATTTGATTATCCAGAATGTATAAATGGATGGATGAGATTCATGTGCAGCTGATATTATTATCCTGCCGTTAACTTCATCATAAACATTAGGAATGGCTTGTAACACAGTGGCATTCTCTCTCTCTCTCGCTGTCTCCCCCCTCAAAGAATTGTAGTTGTCTCTTGCTTGTAAGCGATATTCTTATGTGACTGCTTTTGTCATAACTTTTTCTTCACAGTCGGTTCTGCTATAACGCGTGTTTGTTCAACGCGAATTGGCTTTACCATGATTGAAGAATTTAGATCACTATTTGTGCAAGACGAACTTTCCTTACCTGTATTGGCTATAACGCGATTCCAGCCCCGTTAGTTTAAATGGCGCAGCTATCGCACAATTTCTTCTAACATGAGATCGCACGAAAACGGAACAATCCCGTGATATCAGAACCGAGAATTATTTGTGGCTGTTGTCCAACTAACCCTTATCACACTGCTCAGAAACTATACTCTGTTATCTTTATCTTCCATCATCTTGTTTATATTCCAACTAGCACATCAACATAGTATCGTTGAAGCATTTCCACGATCTTATTCTGCTTTTCATGAAGATTTTTTTTGATTTCAAAAGCAGTCTGACATTATTATAAAGGATTGTTTTGTAGATGCTATGAATTTTAAGACATTTTGATCACTTTTCCCATCAGTTATTAAGCCACCGTAATAAGAAAAAGATTCAACTTGTATCCACTCTTATTTTTCATCTTATGAAATCACGTTCTTTGATATTATCAATGCATACCATTTTCCTGCAGTTTAATGATAATCCACATTTATTACAGGATTTGTTTTTAAAAATTCCGTCCAGGAATCTTCACAAATTTTTGTCTATAACTGCCCCAATTAATTTGCCATCAGCCTAACTCAGATTAATTATATTCTGTCCACCTATTAAGTTTTCTGGCAATTCGAATAGATGTTTTTCAATCATTTCACTTATGTTTGCAAACATCTGGAAAAAGACTGCAATCCTTGTCACACGTTTTTCAAAGCTACTATTATTCATGGTTAATCTTGACTCCTGCTATTTAGCTCTAATATAAATTATGAATCCATCTTCAGTTTTTCCCTTCCATGTCCAAGTTATGTAATATTTTAATCATCTGTCCATGTCTCAGTTTGGTAAATGCCTTGGTGCAAGCTATGAAACAGAAGTATACAGATGTTTTAATTTTTCAATATAGCTTTAAATACAGGCATTGAATTCCTTGCTCCTTTTCCTTCAATTAACCATGTTGTTTTCTGCTATCTCTGGTCTAATACTGCTTCATACTCTCATTTTGATGATTCTTAGAATGATTTAAACTATTAACTGCATGGCTAGCAGTGCCATTGGCATTTTTGAAACATGGTTTTGTGAAATGACTGCAATCTTATACCAATAGCATGTTTTAAAAAAAAAATGTTTTACATGGGATGTAAGCATTGCTAACAAGGTCAATATTTTTGCCCATTCCTAATTTTCCACTAGACAATATAGTGAGTCTTGATCCACTGTAGTCTATATGGTTGTATCAGTATCTGAATCATCACCCATAAAACTTCAGACCACACTGTTGAGACAAGTAATGAATGAAGCACAGAAAAGAAATATTGTGGCTACATGAGCAGGTCATAGACTATGAATCCTGTGGCAAGTAACTCACCTCCTGACTCCCCAAAGCCTGTCTACCATTTACATGGCATAAATCAGGAGTGTGATGGAATACTCCCCACTTGCCTGGATAAGTACAGCTCCAACAACACTCAAGAAGCTTAACACAATCCAAGACAAGGCAGCACATGCAAAATATTTACTCCCTCCATTATCGGTGCTCAGTACCACCACTAGGTGCCATTCAGAAAATGCACTGGAAAAAGTCCACCAAAGCTCTTTACACAGCACCTTCCAAACCTGTGACCACTACCATTTAGAAGACAAGGGAAGCAGATACAGGGGAACTCAATCACCTGCAAGTTCACCTTCAAGTCAAGCAGCATCCTGATTTGGAAATAGATCACTGTTCCTTCAGTGTCACTGGGTCAAAATCCTACAACTCTCTCCCTTGCAGCATTATAGGTGTACCTATCCAATTGAACCACAACAGTTCAAGAAGGCAACTCACTACCACTTTACCAAGGGCAACTAGGGATGGACAATAAATGCTGCCCTCCCTGGTGATGCTCTCTTGGATGAATGAAAGAAAATTTTTTTTGGCAACCTGCATGCAATTTCAGTCTGAGACCACTGGGTGGCACCATAATAGTATGTTGCAGTAGCCAGCTCTGAAGCTCCATTATGTAGAATTTTACAGCATACGGTGGGTTACCAGATTTTAAGTTCTGTTATTTATATTTTTCAGGCAAAAGGGTATATTTACTTTCTAAAGTATCCAACCTATCTCAATATACATTTGCTTCAGCAACATAGGGCTGGATTTTATAGGACGCATGGTCTGCATTCCTTTAAGTAAAATATTAGTGGAGAGCCCACTCAGGGGAAGAATGTCTCCCCCTTCATCATTTAATGATCCACTGTCCATTCATATGTGGAAGGCAGGATTTCCTCTCAGGGATAGGCTGGCAGGCTCTGGGAGAGGCGAGGAAGGGCCTAATCTGAGAGGCTGGAGGTAGGAGGCTGAAATGCTACAACCAAAACTACCAGCTACAAACCCCTGTACAGAAGTACAATGCAAACTCCACCCCTTTCTCTTTAAAACAAGTGCATGATGCTGATGTTGATTTTAAAAGTGGGAGTTTTAAACTGTCAAAATAGTTTCAAAGGCTCCTAAAAACGCATGCAGCTTAAAATCACAGAAAATAATGCTTTCTATACAAAAGTCTTACCTGTGCTCAGACAGCAGTCAATTCTGCCATTTTCTTATTTCAAAATTAAAAGTGACTTCATGATACCATCACTCCATTTTTTGGTGTGATGCTGCTACAGGTGAAAACCCACTACCATAAACATACAACTCTTTAAGGGAAAGGTACAACAAAAGTTAAAGATAAGCCAACAACTACTTTTAAAGCTGTAACAACAAAAAGAAAAACCAACTGCTACAGGTAAAGCGAGAGTAACAAAAAAAAGATTTTAAAGCCAAGAAGGAAAAATAGAAAAAGCACCACCTTGGAATGCAGATTGTTATTCTGACTTTTTAAAGAACATAAAGAGTTAAATAAAAATGGAAAGCAAACAAATAAGAATGAATGGCCACACACTGGCATTCTGTCAAAACGTCAGTGAAAGAAAGAATTAATATTTATGGATCAGCAGATAACTTACAAAGAATGACAAGCAATCAAGGATTAAGAGGAATAAAATCATCATGTATTTCTGACAATGACTGCAATGATCCCAACAAGAATCTTTTTTCAGAATTAGAAGATGAAATTAAAGACGGAATCAATTTCAGAATACACAGACTTGTGCTCATGTCAGTGCCGAGACCAGATGAAACACTGACCAACTTGTAGGCAGGTATCAACAGGAAGATATGGATGTGATTTTAATGAAGCTAACTTTGCTGAAAGGCTTATGGAACTGGTTATTGCCTCTACATCTATCAAAAGGCACTTCTGGGCTAACCCAAAGAACATACCATTGTTGCTCCACTAAAATCAGAAGCACGTTTGAAGCAAACAAGCAGGCCAGCTGCAACTGCAAGTGCTTGAGTCTGGAACAACTACTACAGCCATCAACAGGTTCAGAACAACATCCAGATCTTGAATGAGAGATAACAAGGTGTAGAGCTGGATGAACACAGCGGGCCAAGCAGCATCAGAGGAGCAGGAAAACTGACGTTTCGGGTCTGGACCCTTCTTCAGAAATGGGGGAGAGGAAGGAAATTCTGAAATAAATAGGGAGAGAGGGGGAGGCGGACAGAAGATGGATAAAGGAGTAGATAGGTGGAGAGGAGACAGACAGGTCAAAGAGGCGGGGATGGAGCCAGTAAAGGTGAGGGGAGGTGGGTGAGGTGGGAGGAGTGGATAGGTGGGAGAAAGGACGGACAGGTTAGGGAGGCGGGGACGAGCTGGGCTGGTTTGGGATGTGGTCCCCTTGACCTGTCCGTCTTCCCTGGACTGACCTACCCCCACCCTAACGCCCCACCTACACTCACCTTTACTGGCTCCATCCCCGCCTCTTTGACCTGTCCATCTCCTGTCCACCTATCTGCTCCTTTATCCATCTTCCATCCGCCTCCCCCTTTCTCTCTATTTATTTCAGAATCCCCTTCCCCTCCCCCATTTCTGAAGAAGGGTCCAGACCCGAAACGTCAGCCTTCCTGCTCCTCTGATGCTGCTTGGCCTGCTGTGTTCATCCAGCTCTACACCTTGTTATCTCAGATTCTCCAGCATCGGCAGTTCCTACTATCTCCAAACCTTGAATGAGGTATGTTTGTCTCAGCCACCATGACAGCCTGCATATATCTCAAAGTGCTTGATACTCTGTTTCTGCAAGAGGACGTTGGGTGAAAATGTGTAGAATAAACCTTAAATACAACACAGTCCCTGACAGCAGCATGTGCAAAAAGGCAAACCAAGCGTCAATGCCAAGGAAGTTTCCAAAATTCTGTCCCTGACATACACGCATGTCAACAAAGTAACTTCAATGTTACAGTTTGTAAACCACAATCAGACAGCACATGTTCAAACTGACACACCATATGGGCTCCACTGGAAAAATTTCACTTCCAAAAGAATGAACGACATGCACCATTTGTTAACATGAACACCAGTGCCAGAGCAACTATTATCCCTTTATGCATCTTACACAAAATGCACTCAGGAAACTGGAAAAGCATGATGCAGTCCACTGAAGAAACACTAACCATTTACAATGGGTTCAACATCCTATACATTGGCATTATCTATCTTAAATGCCATATAGCTCTTCAGAATTGACACCCAAACCTTTCACATCATTGAAAC